GCTTCGGATTGGCACAGCTCTGGCTGTTGTGGCCAATTGTGGAGTGAACCATCGGATGGAAGACCTCTCTAACTTTCTCTCTCTCTCTCTCTTTCTGTCTGTCTCTTTCTCTTTCTCTCTACTGCTCCTTCTCTCTCTGTGTAACTCTTTCAAGTAAATAAATAAATCTTTAAAAAAAAAAACATTGTGGAAATTTAAATGAAACATACGCCCTGATTATCCATAATTCATTCTTTCACATTTTTAAAAATATATTTTATTTATTTACTTGAGGGGTAGAGTTACAGAGGCAGAGACAGAGAGGAAGGTCTTCCAGCTACTCGTTCACTCCCCAAATGGCCACACTGGTTGGAGCTGGCTGATCTTGAAACCAGGAGACTGGAGCTTCTTCCAGGACTCCTCAGATTCCTTCCTAACCACATTAGCAGGGAGCTGGATTGGAAATAGAGTAGCTGGTACTCGAACCATTGCCCATATGGAATGCTGGCACCACAGGTGGAGGCTTAGCCCACCACTCTACTGGTGGCCCCTAGAATCACAATTTAATAGAAAAGACAGGATTAGTAAATGGAAAGGCTGGAACAAGTAATTGACTATTTAGGAAGAAAAGTATCTTTAGAGATTCATGAATAATATATGTTAAAATTGCATATGCATATTAAAAGTTAACTGAGAATTTTTAACCACAAAGAAGAAAATGTCAGTGGCTTATTTATTGTACTGTTGACTGAGTAGGCCTCTTCATACTGAAGCAGTAGAAAAAAATCACAAAGGCAAAATATTTATTGATCAAATCGTGTAAAAATTATGACAGGATGTCAAAGAACAATATAATATGAAAGCCAAGCATATTTTATGGGAGATGTTTATGTTTGTTTTTCTAAGGAAGAATTGAAGTTTAGCAAGTCTACAGTGTTACATTTGAAGTCTGTCATGCCTAAAGTCTATCTCTTACTAAGAAATGGAGAATGGCTATTAAAATGCTGTTTGTGAGGAAACTTTTGAAAATTTTTAAGTGATTTCTTTAGATGATTTGCAAATTTTTCTTCTTTGATTGATGTTCTCATTTTCTGAGTTGAGTATCTATTATTGTAATTAGAGAATAGATCGAGTCTTATTAAGAAGGTATGACTGCTGGGGGGGGGTTTGATTTATTATTCCAGTACTTGGGGAAGAAATGGGTAAGACCCCACCAAGCTAGATAAGTATGTGGTTGTGTCTGATATTTAAGAAATCATTGGCCCTTTGTTTATCCCTAGTAATTAGTTCTGCAGATTCTGTACAAGGGCTTTGTGAGAAATTTGCTACAGTTGGCACTTTTCACTATTTTACTTCAAAGGGACTGGTATTTCAAATGGGTAACAGACTTTCTGGAATTTTTACTACATTTACTATACTGTTTTCAGAAAAATGAGTAAATATATTTACTTTTGTTTTTTCCCCACGTTAAATGCATTTAGCAAGGCAGTTGAAATACTCTTTAGAGCTGTTTTGTACCTCTTAATTTGTCATGAAAAGAAATACACTTTTTTTTTATCCTAAAATGAATTGGTTTATTAATACATAATATATCTAATTCCTCTAATTTGTATTAGTCATCTAATAAGTACAGCCACCATTGTTAACTCTTAGGTTAAAAAACAAAACAGACAACAAAGTCCTGCCCGTATGAAATTTGCTGTGTTAATAAGAGGTAACAGGAAATAAGCAGTGAACATAATTAGCAAGTAAATGATTGTTACCAGATGATAAGTGATGGACTAAGAACAAATGTAGAAATACATAAAGGGGATTGGTAGTTACAGGGGGTGATAGTGGATGGGTTGCTGTATTTAATAAGCTGATCAGTTTAGGCCTCATTCAGAAAGTGACAGACATCTGAGAAAAAATTTTAAAGTACAGGGAATTAGCCATATACAACGGGAGCATTCTAAGCAGAGGAAACAGCCAACTCAAAAGCCCTAAGTTAGGAGCATTTCTGATGTCTCTGAAGGATGGAGAAGTTAGTGGTTGGAGCAAGCCAGGGGTGAAGTAGCAGGTAAGGCCAGAGAAGAGAAGTAATAGGTGACCAATTTATGCAGGAGTATGGTAGTCTGTTATGTAAAGAAGTTGATGTTACAGTTTTGAGCAGAGGATGTGTTTGAAATTTACCAGTCTTCCTTGGGGAAGTGGCACTTGAACTAGCCCTGGAGAATAAGAAAGAATTTGCCAAACGAAAAAGATCTTCGTTTGCTTTGGTAATCTTTAAGACTAATTCTGATCACCATACTTAGCAAAATAAATGCACTTTTAAGCCCAAGTCATATATGCTACTTGGCTTGAGATTAATTATTTTACATAAATAACTTACTGCTTTGTATCATTTTAGTCTGTTCAACCAGTCATTTTAAAAATTGATATTTTAATTTAATAAAATTTAAGAAATTCCTATAATGCAGGAAACTTTTTAATTAGAAATCCAGTCTGTTATTAATTTCTTTAAAAATTGAATAATTGCCATTTGCCTTTCTGACATAAAACTATATATTAAATTGAAATATCTTGTATATCTTAAGATTCATTTGTTAATTTTTTATTCTTAAGATCACGTAATTGTGCAAAATAGAAGAGAATTTCTGTTCTTGGTATTTAAGATTTTGTAAGGGAAAGACAGATACTATGTTATGTTAGTGGTATAATAAAAGGAAATGTGAATTCTAATATGAGCTTTTGACATCCTACTACCCTTGGTAAGAATTATCTACCTGTTTGGTCAGGAGCCTCCTCAAATTCATCTTCTTCACCTTCTATATGTATCACCTTCTGACCCATACTTATATTTTTTCTTCTGACACCTGTAGTTAAAAGTTTGAACTCCAGTTTATCACTTGGGCATTCTACGTATTGTCTCTCTGACTGTTGTACTTTTAGAGCTGTTAGAATGATTGTAAATTGGCTGAGAGTAAATAATCTTCTAGGTACCTCCTTTAACATCAGCCATAGTATAGATAGTAGTTAATTTCTAGCTATTATGAAGAATATAATGGAATGTAGTTTTAACTATAAATGTATTTCACGTACAGTGTTTTTGGAAAGTCTTGTTTGACTGACAAGTTGACTCTAAAGTAACTTTCTAAGAGCGACGATTCTTTTTCATTTGACTCCCAGAATGAAAAATAAAGATTTAATTCCAGTGTAGGTCAGAGTCAGTAAAGACTATGTTTGAGGCAACAGTAATATTTTCTTTTGGAAGTCTTTTTGCTTAGAAGATACTTTATCAGGTTAGATTTTTAAATGATTTTTATAATGAATTCATCAAAAAATTCTGACATGCATATAATAGTGTTTGATCATCATTAAGAAGTAATTTTGATATTTTATGTGTAATTATATTTTCATATCTAAATTTCATAATTTGACATTTTGAGAATTTTGTAAATTTTGGATAGAGGGTATTAAAGTGTTTCTTGGTAACAGTATTAGTTTTTTGTGTCAATATCATTACTTATTTTCTTACAGACACAACAGGTGAGTCTGAGATGTTAGTGGTCCTTGATATTTGGACAAGATGATTTGAGTTGTCATTTAGCAGGACAATTGATGTCTGTGATTTTGTGTGATTCTTGGACTAAATCTTTTTGGAATCAAAGCACTGGGAGATATCTTTGACCAAGCTGTTTTTGGCTTAAGAAAAATGTTTCAGAACCTAAACTGTGGTAGAAACAGAGTCTCTATTAAATTATTGTATAACCAGCTTAAGCCTAAATATGCTAACTCAAAACTGTCAAACTTTGAGACATTATCAGATGTTCGGATGGATTGTTGTATAGAATTTATATGCTAATAGCGAGAGAAATAAAATATAAAGTAATAGCTATGATAAAAATATAAGCATAATATAATTTTCATTACAATATTATTGCTTTATAACATGTAAAGCATCCAGCTTTATAACTACCCAAGCTGCTTCACTGACTTCTGTTGGGGTTGGATTTGCAAAATTGCGTGAGCTGTGGAAAAAAATAATACCTGAGAGATGCACATTTTACCAGTTTTAGAGAATGATTGCTAGACTTTGACTTGGTGTTAATTGGTATTTAGTATATATATTTAATTTTCTCTGGAACAAAATTCACGTGAGAAGCTGTGGTGCTCAAGTATCCAATATAGGTGCCAGTCACAGGAAAAAAAAAAAAACCCTTATATTCAAAGATTATCTGTAGATTTATAATGTGCCTCCAGATCAGTCAACATATATTTATTGAGCATCTCCTTTGTCCATAAGTCTCAGCATAGAACATAAAGCAGTAATTTAGATAAAAGAAAACATTTTAGGCTGGAGTAAGCAAATCTAGCTTTAGAGCAGAAGATAAACTTTAGTCAGATTTTGAAGGGTGGTTAGAATGAATGGGTTGGATTCTAGAGAAGGAATCATTATGCAGATGTTTGGCAGGATTCCCAGTTTAATTTTTACTTTTTAATAATGCTAATGACTTACTCCTCTGTCTTCACTTGTTGCAAAGGTTCTTTTTTGAAAATCATTTTTCATGTCATATTTAGAACTTTTGAGTACTGCTGGTTGATGAAAATAAAAATCACTAGATTCCAGTTTTTACTGTTTATCTAAGAATATCTTCTAGGGGGCTTTTGAAGATATAATATTTAAAATGCTTTTTGTTTTTAAATACTTTAGTCAGAAAGTAAGGAAGTCTGGATTTTAATACTAGTTTTAAGCCTTACACTGTGACTTTGGATAAGTCATTTAACTGCATTTTTTTAATTAACTGTTTTTATGCATATTTATTAAAATATATTTGTAATTAAAATAAGCATGATGGTGCCAGACTTATTTCAGGAGAAATATTTTTATTGACTGTTTTGAAGACAACCGGGAGCCATATGTATTAGCATCTTTATTTTTACCAACATATGGCAGATTAAAATACGTGAATTCTTAAAAGGTTATAAATTGATAATATTAATTTTTTGGGTTATATTTATTTCCCCCTTTTTCTTGGTAGCGGATACTCTGTTTTCAAGGAAGCTGAATGGGAAATACAGACTAGAGCGACTTGTCCCAACTGCAGTGTATCAGCACATGAAAATGCACAAACGAATTCTTGGACATTTATCTTCTGTGTACTGTGTAACTTTTGATCGAACTGGCAGACGTATATTTACAGTAAGTAATTGCAAAGTATCATCTTCACATGAAATTGAAGAAACATTGCTCACAGATAAATTTAAAATAAAAATTTTGTTTTTAATGGGAAACTTGAAAATTCATTTAATTTAACTTAGCATAACAAAAATTATACTCAAATTTAGACTTCCTCCAATTTTGGAAAACTCTTGAAACATGTGATGTCGAAATACAGTCACAGGTAAATAGGGATACTCACAAAGTTTGGAAAATGGAATTACAAGATACATTTATTTTGGTGTGAAAAATGTTTAAATTGATGCTTGAGAGAGGTCTCCAGAAAGTTCATGGAAATGTGTATTATGAAAAAAGAATGGGGATTTCAACATTTTTTGCCCTTAAATAAAGTTACCTTTTCCATGAACTTTTTGAGGTATCTTCTTATTTTGGCCCTGCATCATGAATAAATGTAATTCTCAACATATTATCGATTTTGGAATTTGACATTTTACAAAATGTCATACAGTAATTTTAATTGTAAACCAAGGGCATTTCTTGAGTTAAGCTAATTGTAGAAGATTATTAAATGAACCTTTTAGTATTATCCTTAGAAACCCACTTACCAGCCTGTGGGAACTTTCCCTTAAGATTGTAACAGAAAAAAACATGGAACAAAAGATATTTAGTACTCTGCTTATCACATTTGTCCTGGCCTGGTCCAGCCCTAGATGTTAGAGCATTTGAGGATGAACCAATGGATAGAGGATTGATCTCTGTCTTTCAAATAAACAAATGGAAAAACAAATAAGTATTAAGTATTTGGTTGTTATACTTCATGAAACATTTTCTGTGTTTTGATGTGAATTACATAATAATTTAGAATCTTGTGAGTGGGCATACAGTGAGATAATATGCTTGTTGGTATGTCATGAATTTAGTACAATGGTTGGTATAAAGTTGGTAAAACACTTTGAACCAGGAATTAGCAGACTCTCTAACTCACCACCTAATCTTATAAATCAAATTTTATTGAAACAAGCATATTCAGTGTTTATATTGTCTGTGGTTGCTTTCCCACTATAGTCACAGAGTGGAATAGTTATGACAAAGACCATATGGCCTTGCAAAAGCCTAAAATATTTATTACCTGGCTTTGTACATAAAAATTTGCAGTCCTTTTCTAGGCATTTAATTCCTACTTCTAAGGGCATTTGTCTTGGGAAACAAGAATGATAAGTGAAGAGGAAGCTGTTTTCTGATTGTTTCCTTTAGTTGAAGATATATGAAGAAAGCAAAGTAGTCCTGTGGTGTGTAAAAGATGTTTGTTCTTTAAGTATTGATAGAATTTGCTAATTATGCCTGCCTCATCTGTAATTATTTTACTTTTACTGGTGATTTTCAGTTACCTACAACAAAATGCTTCCTAATAAGAAATGCAGAGAAGAGAGCACAGTTTGTCTAAAATTTCCTTGTACTTTTATGATTATCACGTCAAGTGATAGTGTGTGTATGAGGGGGCTTCAAAAAAGTTCATGGAAAATGGAATTAAAAGATAATGTGCATTTTCCATAAACTTAAAAGATTATTTTATGTATTTGTAAAGCAGAGAGGGAGAGAAGGGGGAGAGAGAGAGAGAGAGAAAGAACGAGCATCCATTAGCTGATTCACTTCCCAGTGTCCACAACAGTCTGGGATGGGACAGGCTGAAGTTAGGAGCCAGAATGGGTCTAACCAATCTTCGTCTTTTATGTATTTGGTATTTTAATCTTGTAGATTTATTTCTAAGGAACTGGTGTGTCTGTGTGTGTGTGTGTGTGTACGTACATATAATATATAGTTGGAAACTTTTCCCAAGGGATTCTTTTGAGTGCTTTTAAATAGGCGCAGCTAGAGGCAGTATAATATTATGGTTAAGATAATCAGCTTTGGCATCAGAGAGCTCTCAATCACAGGTGTACCACTTCTTATTAGTGTATCTTGGCATTTCTTTCATCTCTAATTTTATTATCTTAAAAAAAAGGGAGAGAGGAGAATAGATAATATTTGTACTGACCCCACAGTATTTGTTGTGGACTTACATGAAAGAATGCATATAATTAGAACTGAACAGTGTATATAGTAGCAGTCATTAAATTTTATTTGGTGCTGCTGTAATTTTATAGACATATTTAAGTAAATCTTACCTGTTTTATTTTTTATTTCACTAAAATCTTATTCTATAAATGCCAAAGAAGATTTAAAAGCAAATCATTGTAATTAAAAAGTGAAATTCTATTTAATGAAAAATTATATTTCATTAGTAATGAGTGTATTCCCAATAGAATAATAAGAAAAAACTAAAGGAGGGAGTTAGCATAATTACCAGGTGATATTTTACCCTGGCTCTCTTAGTCTTTTAACTTTTTCTTACTTGGTTTCAGAATCACTGCCTCAAATAATATTTACCAAAGAAAATCAGAGTTAATAAATTCTCAGGACTAAGGCACTCACAGTACGAGAGTCTGCTCATTGAATTTCCTCTAAGAAGCAAAGATTTCCTCTCTCTTCTTGGAAATGTAAAATGTGTCTCTCTTCCATTGAAATTAAAACAAAAGAGCGATATAAATAAGCAGTATTTAAGCTATTAGTTTAGGCATTCTTTTAACAAATTTCAAAGTCTTTTACAACCCATCAGTATTCCAAGCAGTTGGGATATAAAGACTTAGTACTTGGCCTTTGGAGAATTCTCTGATGGTAAAGAGACAGAATTGACACAGTGTAGTAAGAACCTGTATGGAGTATGCATGATCCCAGGAGATGGTAGGGAAATTGACTGGAGAAGTAAAATCTCTGCAATGTTCATCTGGATATTTCAGACCTAGAGGAAGGCCTTTCAAATTTTGGGAGAATGTAATTGTGGCTTATTGCTTACAACATAAATGTAACACAGAAGGAAGTATGGATGATAATTAAGCAAGTTGATGGGGAATAAAATCAAGATCCTTTTATGACGTGCTAAAGAGTAGATTTCTTTCCTGAAGGCAGTGAAAAGCAAATGATGGATTTAGATGGAAGAGTGAGTAGAATTTCTCTTTAATCATTCTTGTGCATTGTTGTGGAGTATAGACTGAAATGAAGTATTTTACACAAAGGCGTTGGTGGAAGAGTTCTGACAGCGATTCAAGAAATCATCAGGGCTTGAACAAAGAGTGGAAGTATAGATGAAATTAACAGATTAAAAATAGATTTCTGGAGGGACATTTAGCCTAGAAGTTAAGATGCCCACCTTCTTGTCAGAGTGCTTGAGTTTGATTCTTGGCTCTGGCTCCTGACTCCAGATTCCTGCAAGTACACAGGCTGGGAGACAGTGTTGATGGCTCAGATAATTGGATTCTTACTACCCAATGGGATACCTTAATTGTATTCCCAGCTTCTGGTTCTCATACCAGCAGCTTTGGTCATTGTGGGCATTTGGGGAATGTACCAGTAGGTAGGAGCTCTGTCTCTCCTCCCTCTCAAATAAATCATATCTAAATAAATAAATGAAAATAAGTTATCTGGGATTTGAGAGACTTATTTCTACTTGAGAGGACTTTAAAACGTTTATGGAAAAGTTAAAAGGTCTGTTTTGGTACAAAAAGTTTTTAAATCTATGCTTTTTTTCTTTCTTTCTTTCTTTCTTTCTTTCTTTCTTTTTTTTTTTTTTTTTTTTTATAACAAGTATTTTCTGGGCCTGGCATGGCACAGCAGATTAAGCTGCAGCCTATGACACCAGTATCACAAATGGGCATTGGGTTTGATTCCCAGCTTCTCCCCTTCCAATCCAGCTTTCTGTTAATGCACTTGGGAAAGCTGCAGAAGATGACCCAAATGTTTGGGCTCCTGCTACCCTCATGGGAGACCTGGATGGATTTCCAGGCTTCTGCTCCAGGCTAGCCCAGCCTTGGCAGATGCAGCCTTTTGGGGAGTGGAAGCCAGCAGATGAACGATACCTACTTCTCTCTCTGTAACTCCACCTTTCAAAATAAATAAATACTAATTTTTTTTGAAATGTGTTAACAAAATAAGTATTTTCCGTAAAATTTTTGAGAGGGAGAGGATATGGGATAACATGTTTTTAACTTAATGTGACTTAAAAGACTTAAAAGGCTCATTCATTTACTACGCTGAGTATTTAAAGGGAGAAGTTTGTTCTTGTTGTCTTTGAGATATTTATGAAGAAAGCTACGTAGAAATGCCCAGTAGGTAATGAGAACTCAGGAGAGAGATCTGGAAAGATGATTCAGCTTAGGAATAATTCAGTACAGAAATAGAAAGTATAATTGCTTATGTATGTATTGTTAAGAAAGCTGAAACTTCAACATTTGAAGCAAAGGAAAGAGTCAGTGATTCCACAGAAAAGTTGCATGAGAAGCCAGAGAAAAAACAAACAGGGGGCCGGCTCCCGGCTCACTAGGCTAATCCTCCGCCTAGTGGCGCCAGCACACCGGGTTCTAGTCCCGGTTGGGGTGCCGGGTTCTGTCCCGGTTGCCCCTCTTCCAGGCCAGCTCTCTGCTGTGGCCAGGGAGTGCAGTGGAGGATGGCCCAAGTGCTTGGGCCCTGCACCCCATGGGAGACCAGGATATGTACCTGGCTCCTGCCATCGGATCAGCGCGGTGCGCGGGCCGCAGTAGCCATTGGAGGGTGAACCAACGGCAAAAAAAAAAAAAACCAAAAAAACAAACAAACAAACAAACAAACAAAAAACAAAAACAAGGGGATCTCTTAGAAGCCAAGAGATGAGTATTTCATGAAAAGACTGAAGTCTAAAGTAAAATTAGGACTGAAAGGCATCTTTTGGATTTGGCAAATCATTAATGAGTGCTATGGTCTGAATGTTTTTTCTGCCAAAATTCATATGTTGAAGCCTAATTCCCAATGTGATATTAAAAGGAGGTGATTAAGTCAGGAAGACCCTGCCCTCATGGGTGGATTAGTGCCCTTATTAAAGAAGCCTAAGGGAGCTTGTTTGCCTCCTTCTTCATGTGAAGACACAGACAGAAGAAGGTGCTATCTGTGAA